GTACCGGCCACCACGCCCTTCCCTCCCTCCCTCCCCGTCCCCCCCTCCCCTCCCCGCCCCTCCTTCCCCTCCTTCCCTCCCCTCCCCCACCGCCCACACGCGCAGCTGTCGATCCGCTGCCCCTGTCACCAGCCTCCGTCTATCCGGGCTTAAAACCAGGGACCAGATCTCCGACCGGTGCCCCGTTAGCGTCTGCACGCAATGCTGGCTCGCCAGCTCCCAGACCTTCAACAGCGTGTCCTTGGAGGAGGAGAGCAGGTACCGAGGGCCAGCCCCTTCCTCCCCCCCTCCCTCCCCCCCTCCCTCCCCCCAGAGCCCCAGGCCCGTCACCCCACTCTTGTGCCCCTTGAGCCTGTACAGCCCACTCTCCGTGACCAGATCCCAGACGATCACGTCCGTGTCCCTTCCCCCGCTCACCAACGTCGACCCCAGCGCGCCGAAGGCGAGGCAAGCCACCCCCCCCGACCGATGCCCGTGCAGGGTCACTTTCAGCGCGCCTGTTACCACGTCGAAGAGGTTGATCACCCCGGCATGGTACCCCGCGGCCAAGGTGGTGCCGTCAGGGGACAAGGCCAGGCAGGTCACCTCTCCCCATTGCGGGGCGTCGGCTTCGGGATCATCTAAACTCGGCCCTGGAGGTCGCAAAAAGCGCACAGGCAGGCCAGACCGCAAGTTGAATATGGCCACATTTTCCAGGGCGGCCGTGAAAGCAAGCTTGCCCGAAGGATGAAGAAGGACGTCCGTGCAGGTAGGAGAGGCGATGACGCCGAATGTGGCGGTGGGCACGTATCTTAGGTGGCTTTTCATACTCCAGGGAGGAGGCACACTGGCCACCGGCCTGTGTGCAAATGGCGCCAGGAGTGGGATCCTCATGAGAAGGCATCTCATCTTAAAAGCGTGTGCACCGCAGGTGTCTCAAACAAACGCTCGATCGCGCCGTTGAGCTGGGTTTTAGTACGTTGACGCGCACACGCAAACTTGGCTAGAAGGATGAAAAAGCGTCATGGTATATGCGAAGCAACCTCCTCCCCTCACCGCCATGCGCTCTCCCAAGAACTGCCGCACCACTGGAAAATTGGGTAGCACCGATACACATCACGCGAATCATTCTCACAGCGTTAGCTGGTTTTTCCGTCGGTATGCACGTAAGGTGTTGCGTAAAGACGCCTTTGCATGGAGAGACCGGGGGGGCCCTACATCCGGGTTGGTTGTCATGGCGCCCGAAGGCTCCCCGCGTCCTCTTCGCCTAAAGCCAGTACTTCGTTGTACTGTATCATGAGGGAGGATGCTTGAACGTCATTCTAAAATCGATCAAGTATAGAAACAGTTGCGAGGACAAAATAGATTGCCTTACTTATGTTTCTTTACATACAAGTGCTCTGGCTAAAGGCTCCCTCCACGCCTCAAGATACTGCCTTCGCTATCCAATATCTCGCACTCTCTCATCGTCGACCACTTCCCCTTCCTTGCCCTCCTTTCTTGCCCTCTTTCTTCCCGCCCCCTTCTGGACGACGTTTCTCCTCGCTGGCTATCAGTTTCTTCCGAAGGTTCTCTCTCAGATCTTTCTGGGCTGGATTTCGGTTCCACCCATACAGCCGCTCTCTGGTCGCCTCGCTCGGCGGACGAGGCCACGCCTGCAAATTAGCGTTCGCCCGAATGGCTTCCTCCAACGCTGCAATCTCATCGTCCCCCTCTGCGTCTTGCTCTGTCCTTCCCTCCTCCTTCCTTCTCCCCTCCCCCCTTTCCGCCCCCTCCGACGCCATGCCATTTTCTGAACAGACGTTTCCATTCCCTTGTCGATCTCCTCGCTCTTCCTGGCGTTTTAAGCGCGCCGCATGGAGCGCGCCCAGCCCCAGGTTCCCCCTCATGGGCCGCCCCTCAGCCCCGTCCTCGATGCGCCGACCACAGCCCTCTGACCTCAGTCGATGCCGGAGCTGCCCAACGGGCTCGGG